TGTAGCTTCATGCGCCTGTGTGTCGCTTCAATCCTCTTTCCTGGACCTAATATTTTCAGTTTATGGCGCTTGAATCATTTAGCCTCTTTTTAAATAAAAGTGATTAAAACCATTTTGTATTAAGTAACATTTATTTCTGGAAAAAATAACTTTAAGAAAATGAATTCTAGACTAAATTAGGTACTTACTTACGTGGTGGATTTATTTAAGGATATCGTTTGATTTAAGGAGCTTTTTTGGGAAAAAAATATATTTTTCTAATCTAATTACCGCGCAAAAGGTCGTGGGTTCGAGGTCCACCTTAGGCAGTTCGATTTTTTCAGGCAATCGAACCCTCAAATTGCAATACTCAGCGATACGAAACTAAATTCATTGAATATCGGCCATAAAATGGTTTTTGAATACCTATGTGTGTTTTGTTAAGATAAGTTTTTATTTCATTGTATTTATGCATGCATAAAGTTTAGGTTTTTTATTACACCTACCTAGCTAAAGCCTGGTCCGTGAGCACGTAGAATTTTGTCCAATGACCCCAAGCTACCCATCCTTATTGCTCGCCCGTAATTCTGTTGCTGTCGCGCTCGCACACTCACTGCGTGCGCCCGTCGCACAGTCGCGATAGCAATATAATTACGCGCGAGCGATAAGGATGGGTAGCTAGGGGTCATTGGACAAAATTCTACGTGCTCACGGACCAGGCTTTAGAATAGAGCAACAAATGACTGAGCGAGCGAGATGTCACTAGCAGCAACTTTGTGTAATAAAAAGAGATGCGTGATGCCGTCACCTTCACGTCAAACAGAACCGTTTTTTGCGAGGAAGGAATAATAACTTTATGTTTTTATGTAACTTTTGACAATGCATGTTTAGTTTGTAATTTTGATAAAATTTAATAACCCAGTGTTATTTTTAAGACAGGTAAATAAGTGTAAATAGAATTTACGTTTATAATNAGCATTTGTTACTATGGCACCAAAGCTGTAGCACTACTGTGCGTCTTTCTTCTTTTTATTTTATTTTTTATCTTCTCTTCTGTTGTTTTCTCACCTATATCTTATCAAAATCAAGTGCCAGCCAACAAAAAAAAAGTGCTGTATTTTGACAGAACACGTCTGCCTTAGCATTTGTCACTTTTGATTTTGGACCAAAATGGATGATGTCTATAAATTAGTTTACTTGCTGCGTAATCTGACTGAACTGCATCATGACATCAGACCATCAGTGAAAAAAAACGCCTATTTTATTTGGCAATCAACAGATATTTACTATTTAAGTATTCGTCATTAGAGTGTATTCACTCTATGTATGGGCTATTGCCCAGAAAAAGAAATTTGTTTTTTTAAAGGCCTTAATATGGTTTTTTGTAACTTTTTGGACTTTAAATAAAAGCCGTTATTATTATAATCCATTTTATTGATGTTTACCTCAAAGATTAATGTATTTCATTTTATTAATAGGAAATTCTCGTAGTTTTTTAATATCCGGTATCCGGCCGGATAGTGAGTTACTATCCGGTATCCGGCCGGATAGTAAATTTAGGCCGGATATCCGGCCTACCGGATAGTTACCGGATATCCGTTTCATCTCTAGTTTACACCCGTCCGTGTACTAACGATGCAACTATGGAGAGCAAAGCACAGGCTCGCATTTGAAGTCCGGAGCAGGCATCTACTCCGTGCACATATACAAGTTTTAGCGTACAGCCTTAGACTAGGCGCAGACCACCTATTTTTAGTTGGCCAATACTTAGTTGTGACCGATTTTAAATTGTATGAAGAATCGGCCAAATCAAATCGGTGTAATGTGCGCACTTCCATACATACCCATACTGATCAACTGCCCGACTAAACTATCGGCCGACGAAAAATCAATGGTCTGCGCCTAGGCTAAGATTGACTAAGTTTCCCAGCCTATAATATTGTCCCGAAGTGGTGGTAAGGGCAGCTATATTTGGGACGTGTGAGCACCCTGGATAGGCCTAAGTACTGAATAAATTATTTCAATGTAATCACTCACGCAGCAAATGCAGCGCTATAGTATAGAGCTGCGTGTTGAGCGCGGGCGCGAACACGTCGCGCCACTCGGCCAGCAGCTCGAACACGTGCGGCAGGGGCTGGCGCCGCTCGCACTCCGCCTTTGATGTTGCTAATAAACTGCTCCACGAACGAGTACAGACGGAACGTCCCTAGCGACAGTGTAGTGTTTGTATCTACGTACTAGATAGATACAATACGCTGTCTCACGTACACAAGTGATAGGCAGTCACGCGACGTCGTTACGAGTGGGACGAGTCAGTCGTACGGCAGACGCCGGCGAGTATGGACGTGCCGCAGTGAGACGCTTGGTGTGACGGTGAGCCAGTGTGCACATTTACAGACAGCATCGCCGAATAAATGATATCAGTGTAATTACTCACGCAGCAGATGCGCTGCAATAGTATAGAGCTGCGTGTTGAGCGCGGGCGCGAACACGTCGCGCCACTCGGCCAGCAGCTCGAACACGTGCGGCAGGGGCTGGCGCCGCTCGCACTCCGCCTTGATGCCGCCGATGAACTGCTCCACGAACGAGTACAGCCGGAACGTCGCTAGAGACAGCATCGCCACCTGGAAACGGCTATACCAGTCAATCTCTTCTAGTGCGAAAACACACTCAAAACAGTTTACGTAATAACAAATCAATTCGTACATATCAGTGGGGATTTATTCCACTTTGTTCACCTGGGTGATTAAAGTGGATTTTTTTGTGTCCTCATTTCATCTCGGAACCATTTCACCCGGGTGAATTGATTCGACTAAAGCGATCGGCTTTTATTTACCTAGGAAATAATTCATCCAGGTCTTCGCATCTGAGTAGATGAATTAATTCCTAGGTGAACAAAGGCGATTGATTTAGTCGACTCAATTCACCTAGAATATGAAGTGGAATAAATTCATCAGCGAGATGTCAATCATAGAAGGGTGGGAACGTTCTGTTCTCTGATGAAGAGGTGTCAGGGACTATTTTATGAACATCTCACGCAGACTTTTAAATATTTCGGAAAAATCTAAAAAAGCACAACACCAAGACTGAAGTACGTTTTCTCGTCTTTCGATAATATTTTTACCTTAGTTTACAATTACACACATGCTGTAAAACAAATAACGTCCTAAATAGTACCTTGGTGCATCCATAATGTTTCTGCGCCATGTGCACGCACTCGACGAGCGTGCACAGCGTGACGGTGGCAAAGTCCCAGTGGTGCGGCGCCGCGGTCCAGCCGTCCCGGCTCAAGGCTGCGATCACGCATTCTACAATGCTAGACTCGCATACCACCTCGCCCCAGGACATAGTTGATATGTCTCTGGAACGATACATTGCAATTAATATAACATTAAAATTATGATGTGATTTCTGATGTCAGTTCATCAACAGTCACGATATCTGAAGTCATAAATTCCTCTGAAATGCCAGTGTTTTAATTTTAGCATGTTGAAAATGTAACGTGCATAATATCTTCAGCTCGCAAATGTCACTTAAAAATCGATACTGCTGCTAGGGTTACAACTACAACCATATAGCCTAGTACGCAAAATGTGTGAATGTGCTCGTTTGCCTGTCACATAAAAATAAAATAAAAAAAAAAGAATGGTAAGCATCAATGACAAAAAAATGGCGAGCATCAGAGTTCATCAGACTATAAGCAAAACTTCCTAGACGCCCCGATCGTCTCTGCATTTAAGCGATTTATCTTCAGAGATAAATCTTGCATATAGTGTATAAGTGCACTCACCTCTCAATGAGCATGGTCTCCGAGTTTCTATGATAGAAGTCGATGACGGCATCCAGATTGCAATCAGTGCAGGCAGACAGCGCGGCGCGCGCGAACTCATCAGCGCCCGCGCGCGAGCCGTGCGCCGCCATCGTCGCTCGCAGCATCACCGCGAATGCGCATTGCGCACGAGCCAGCGAATCTGAACTCCATTTCGTGTTCGCCTGCGGGTATGGTTATTTTTGAAGTCTGTTATAGTCACGACAATACGCACATGGATAAGGAAATATTGTAAATCTGAATTCTGTCCAAATCAAAACTAAACTTGAACAAAAATAATGGATCTCAAAAAATCATTATTCTGAAAAAATGTACACACGGCCACACTGTTAACTATCCATTTCCGTTTTGCTCTCGCTCTAATCAAATGTTGATTCTTTGCGATAGAACGAGATGACATGACTGGCAATGGGCAGTTAACACTGTTGCCGATAGTACATGACGCGCTCCGGCTAGTGAGTACGCATAGGAATAAGCACGCCCGTCGAACGTGGTGCGATTATTACGTTTACACCATAATCACATTTTTTTTTACTATGACGGATCATGGAGTATACAGATAAATAAGCAAAGTACCTGTAAACTATGGAAAAATCCATTCCCCGTCAGCATAGTCTCAATCTTCGTCACGTCCAAATCCTCAGCCAGCTTAGTAACACCTGCCGGGTCTCCCTTCTCGTCACCGTCCCCATCCTTCGCCACCTTGGTCTCGTAGAAGCGCCGCGCGTACGACCAGTAGTAGCCTTCGGCGGCCGCGCGCTCCGACAGCCGGGTGAGAATACTAGCCCTGAGGTCTTCGGACGTCTCGGGAATTATAGCATCGAATATTGCGTCCATTTTGGATTTCGTTTCCTGTATTAGCGTGTGGTGGACCCACTGGAATAAAATAAATGATAAATCAATATACGTCTAAAAACACAATTTAGAAAATATTGATATTTCACAAGACGAAATCATAATGACTGTTTACTTACGTAGCCATATCCTTCATGTAGGGAGGTCACAACCATGAAATCTCGAAGCAAATTACAAAACTCCTCTTGTATGTACTCGTCGCTCACCAAGTTATTGCACCACGCCTCGTTCTGCTTCGGCTCCTCGTCCTCATCTTCCTCCTCCTCGTGCGAGCCTCTATGCAGGAGCATGGTCCGCAGGAATATCGCGCGAAATAGGAACTTATTCAAATACGGCACAAGGTCGGTTATAGTTAGTTCCGTCGGATTGCTATCGGACGCTTCCTTCACTATGGCTTTGATGAGGTCGTTGTCGTCTTCGAACGGGCAGTTGAGTCTGTTGGCGATGCAGTCGTATCGTAAGGCGAAGGTTTCGGCCGGGACAGCTGACATCGTTTGTGGGAGAGCGAGCACCTGCTTCGTGAATTCAACAATTTCGCTGACGTCGGTCGGGGGCTCGCTGTCGTCGCATTCGCTCAACAAGAACGGGCAGAGTGACGTCATGTGCTCGATCTGGGTTATGCTGACTGTATCCTTACTGAAATTAGAAAAGGTAAGCATATTGGTACTAGAGCTAGAGATCTGCGAGTCGAGGAGAATTGCAGCATACAGGACTACAGGGTGCTTATTATGAGATTATAATATTAGGTGTGCTCGCTAGCGACTGCGTAAAAAATGTATGGCAGATTGTAAAGCTCCCCTAGCGCCTACTTTCGAGAACTAGATAGATTTTTTGACGCATTCGCTAGCGACACCTAACCAAAGAACACGATCAAATCATATGCTTTCTTATCAAGCTATTTCTTTATGGTCGTCGTAAAATAGTTCAATGGGGCACGATTATTTTCAGTGACTAAGTAACAGTCATGCATGAGTAGCTGGGGTTATAGCAGAGTAAATACAAATGAGTAGGTCATCTTCATAGAAACGCATCGAGCGCGGTTTGTATGTGAGCGCGCCAATATACGTATCATGCAGCGCGCACGCACACACTGACAAAATTCGGCGCAACCACGACTGGCTCCCCGCTAATCTCCGCTAAATTTTGTCAGTGTGTGCGTGCGCGCCGCATACGTGTTGGCGCGCTCACATACAAACCGCGTTTCTATGAACATGACCTACTCATTTGTATTTACTCTGGTGCCAACTCGTGCCAATGTCAGGAGAAATTATCTTAGACTTCACGTTGATGCATGTACCACTAATAATGGACGCAATTCCTTCTTTAACAGAGTTTTCAAAACTTTTAACAGCAATTATTCTGAAAATTTTGACCTTTTTCATATTGTGAGACAAAACTATTTCAAAAATCAAAGTAATAAAGAATTCTTTGGCGACACTACTTAGCACTCTCCCGGTAAAAAGTTGAAGTATCTGTTTACTGCTTAATATTCTGCTATTTTGTTATGGCCTTAGTAGGTATTTTCTGTATTGTTTTAACTTTTTTCATATATTGTAGTTATACTGCATGCTAAATAATTTGTTTTGTATTGTATCTTGATATGCTATTTGTGAAAACTATGTAAGGCATTTTTGATCTTAACCGCCTCATCTATTAATAATACATATATGCTGTTTGTTTTCCATAAAATAAATAATAATAATAATAACTATCAGGGGGTGATTAGTGATCGATACTGATGCCAAAAATGCAATCAGTAAAATTTTTGTCTCTCTGTCTGTCTGTCTGTATGTTCCTTATAGAAACAAAAACCACTTGACGGATTTTAACGAAACTTGGTACAATTATTCTTCATACTTCTGGGCAGGTTATAGGATACTTAGGAATTCCCACGAGAACGGGAATTAGCTGGAAAATCCTTTTGTACGAAAAATCTAAACCGCTTAAGTTAGACGTTTGAAATTTGGCATGCAGGTACCTTAGTAAACTTAAAGCTTAGTTACAACAGGATATTGCAAAATTCCCATGGGAACGGGAGTTAGTGGGAAAAAACATTTGTATGAAAAAATCTAAACCGCGTAAGATAGATGAAGGGGGGGTAAAACGAGATCCACGCGCACGAAGTCGCGGGCGGCCGCTAGTAAATAAATAAATATAGTGATAGGTCACTCACAGCGCCAGCAGGGCGTTATGCAGCTCGTTGGCGGCGCGGGCGCGGGCGGCCACGCGCGCTTCCCGCGGCAGCGCCGCCAGCCCGTCGTGCGCCGCGCCGCGCACCTCCAGCCACGACTCCACGCTCAGCCGGGGCGAGCCGCGCTACCAACACAAAAATACTATCTAAATATAACTCAAAGGTGACTGACCGACATATCTATCAACGCACAGCCCAAACAACTGGCCGGATTGGGCTGAAATTTGGCATGCAGGTGGATGTTATGACGTAGGTATCAGGTAAGAAAGGATTTTACGAAACTCCACCCCTAAGGGGGTAAAACGGGATCCACGCGTACGAAGTCGCGGGCGGCTGCTAGTGTACAATAATTGTCGCGCTATTGCGCTATATTGTATTCCCTATTGGGAATCAAGTTTTTTTATTTCTTACATTTCAGTAGTCCTGCCGGGCTAGAAGCCTATATTTCTTTTTTTTGCCCCTTTGACTGTTTTTTACGAGATTGTAATAATATATAGAATCCATTATTGGCTGTAAGAACAAAAATACCTGTTTGTATTATTATTATAAAGAGCTGTGGTTTTCTGAATAAAGAAAATAAAAATAAAATAAAAATAAATAAAATAAGAATGCGCGCCGTGATAAAATCTTATCGAAGCTTATCACGTTTAAAAATATCACTTATAACGATAAAATGGCACGATAAAAGCTTATCGCGGTGCGCATCCTAGGCCTACATGCATTTTCAAATCATTCAGCGCTTTTCTATAATAAGTCGCAAAAATACAAGATATAAACATCAAAATTTTCATGACGTCACTCGACACGTTAGAATAATACGCAGTTACCATGACCGCATGTTGTGACGTTACGTTCACCTATTTCCATACAAAGTGGAAACAAAAAAGTTACAAGCTATTTAAATACTTATTTTACAGAAATTCTAAGATTTAATTAAATAATTTACTTATTTTTAAAATCGATGCATATTCTTTATTACCCACTCATTTAGAAACTTTATGACTTAGAACTATTTTTCTGCTTAACTACAGAAGTCGTACAAGTAAATAATACACGTAGCCCTTACCGGCACAGCCACATTCACCATGAAGAGGTTGAGCGTCAACTGCAGGTAGTTCTCATCAGTCGCCTTCGAAGCAACTGTTGTGGCCAGGTGCGCCGCGATGGACGCCGCGTGCTCGAGGTCGATGCCGTCCTCTTGGTCCGCGTTAGATGGGTCCAGCGCCTCTCTTAGCGCGCCGCTGACCACTTCTGCGATTTTGGACGCTGTCTCGTCGCCGATTAACATCTCTGAAGACATAATTAACATAGGGTTATACAATGAAATCAATAATTTTTATGAGCTGTCATGATGTGATTCTCTAATAGATTTTGTATGGCAAAAGGGACTGTGGCGTCATCAGCTCGTGAACATGATTGATAGTATAATTAATTTACTGATTTCGAAGCTACTATAAATAGAATTGCACTGCCTTTAACGACCTAGGTTTACAGGGAAATAGAGGGAGCCTCTGTTTTTATTTTATTTAAAAGAAGTTGTGCCTTGGAATTATTTGTTAATGATCGACCGATGACCTCATAAAGGAAGCAAGAAGGCACTGGATGGAGGCCGCTACCAACTGGGTGATGTGGAAGTCATTGGGGCAGGCCTATGTTCAGCAGTGGACGTGTTATGGCTGAAATGATGATGATGATGATGACAGATTTCGAAGCTGCTATAAATAGAATTCCATTGCCATTAAGAACAAATTTGCCGCGCGCCCGCCGCCCGCCACTGCCGCGCGCTACTCACCGCCAGCGGGCGCGTCGTCGCGCGACAGGCACACCAGCAGCAGGCTCCTGGCCGCGGCGCAGCGCCGGCGCAGCAGGCGGCGCGTGAGGGCCAGCAGCGCCGCGCGCCCGCCGCCCGCCACTGCCGCACGCTACTCACCGCCAGCGGGCGCGGCGTCGCGCGACAGGCACACCAGCAGCAGGCTCCTGGCCGCGGCGCAGCGCCGGCGCAGCAGGCGGCGCGTGAGGGCCAGCAGCGCCGCGCGCCCGCCGCCCGCCACTGCCGCACGCTACTCACCGCCAGCGGGCGCGGCGTCGCGCGACAGGCACACCAGCAGCAGGCTCCTGGCCGCGGCGCAGCGCCGGCGCAGCAGGCGGCGCGTGAGGGCCAGCAGCGCCGCGCGCACGGTGCGCCCGCGCAGCCAGCGCCGCGTGCCCGCGCACCTCCACTGCAGGTGGCAAGCTGCCGCAGACACGCACCACTCCAGCGCGCCGCACGGGAACTACGGACAACGTTATAATATGACGTACGTCTGCAACGACATGCACGGCTACGTAACCTTTTAGCATTGCAATGGTGCACCGCTGAGATGAGACGTGGCGACATAATTAACGTGAGACTGAAAGAACTTCTAAAAGTTCAGCACTGACAACAAGCGTGACTGTGAAACCAGCTAAAGGTCACATTAGTCTTCTCGAGACGCTATGTTACGTTATTTTGACGAATGACAGCAAGTGACTATCACCCGTCAACCTATTCTTAAAACAGTTATGGTAAACTCCTAAAATTATATTTTATTTTATTGATTTAATAGGACAACTAAGTAACAAGACCATACACTAGAAGACAATCCGTTCTATATTAGCCTAAAATTAGTATTTATATGCAGTTTGTCTCAATATCCTTCAATACCCATGATGCAGGCTATTTACAAACAAATATTAAGTAGAATGTAAGTTATAAAAGAGTAGATACGAACCTGATCAAATGACGCAAGGACTGCATCCTGTTCTTCATCAGTCAAGTGTTTCATCAAGATGAAAATGACGTCGACTATCGCCTTACACCGCATCGTGTCGGTCACCATCCAAGTCCTCAACAATTTATCGTACAGCTCGTACACTCCGTTCGCGTTGAAATGTTTACCCACTGCTATGTACAGGTTTTTACTGTCGAACTCATTCAGAATGGTGATCAGAGGCATGAGGATAGGTTCGCAAATATCTATTTTGTTTGCGAATTCGAAATGCCCACACACAATTTTCTCTACGACTTCGTTTAAGTTATGTTTGTATCTTTCTATCGACGCCGCATCAAGGTCCTGGACCGGAGTGACTTTAGTCTCCGCCTCCTCGTTAGGAACATCACCGTGGAATTTTATGCTAAGAGGTTTCTTATTTTCACTAAGGAAAGCCGTTTTCAAAGTTTGCAACAGCAAAATGTGTCCTTCAATAATGTGCACGATTTTTTCAGCATCCACTGTCGTTTCGTCCAGTTGCAGTAAAACCGTCGACGCAACGTTTTGCCAGAAGTTTCTGATGAGCTGGTCATATTTTTCGCCGTTCGGTTCTTTGGACTGCTTGAGCCAGTACTTGACGAGCGCGACCATGGTAGTGGCGGAGTGCTTGACCAAGTTATTCCTTAGCTGCGCGTCGTGCTCGGGCAGGAGCACGTTCTTGAGCCACGTGCGGTGCACGGAGGTCACGACCTCTAGGACGTAGTCATTCTGTTGGATGGAGAGGTACCGCAAGCATTCCGATAAGCTCGTAATCCAGTACTGTCGCTCGCTTTTTGAACTGAGGATATTTTTCTTCAGTAAGCTGTGAAGAAAAATAACATAGTTCAGGTACCTACATAATAAGTTGATAAATATTTTTCGTGCACACATCAAATCAAATAAAAAATGTTTAATTTTATTCAAATTTTGTATAGAAAAGGTAAACCTTTAGGGGCACTTTACATGTCTCCATAAAGGGTGATAAGACGATGATTTCGGTCAGGTATTCAAGAAAACACGGGATGGTAAGTGATCTCCGAGCAGATGAGATTGAAAGATGTTCGAGTGTCGCCATCTTGCCAGCGCCCGAGTGTTCGGGTAAAATCAATGTGAATTGACGACGCGACACCAACTCTGCATTGACCCGGCAAAGATCTGCTGACAAAACGTCTCTCGAAAGACGCTAGTGTGAAGGGTATTTAAATAAGATACACACACCGGCAGATTTAGAGGAACGGAAAAAAAAGCATCAATATCATCATTATTTTAGGAAAAAAATGCCTAATTATGATATTATTTTTTAATTTAATTCTAAATATGAAAAAACTAATTGCCAACAGTATATTTTTTTAATTATTTTGTTTAAATTACCCCATCAACAGTTTCGTTGAGTGTTTTGAATTGAATGAAGCTTTTGCTAATTTGGATTTCTTTTACGTGAAAGATGTTTTTTTTTGAGAATTTTGTTGTGTAAGCATTCAGTTACTTATAAGGGTTTATTATGCCCAGCTTAGCACCGTCAGAAATCATTAAGGCAGATGAAATGAGAAGTAACGGCCATGCATACAAATCGGCTGCCGTAAGACGTCGTTGATCAGTATCGACCACCCATGGCAGTAACCAACGGTACAGATTGATCATTTCTGTCGTTAGGAGGAGGGTTCAAGTCAGAAAAAGGCGTACTTCGCGACGGGATGACCGTTTTTTACAACTTCGAGTTTTCAGAAAGTCGCGGTTACCTGCTGTTCAAGCCAGAAATAACCTTAAAGACACTCGAGGAGTAAGAGTGACTGAGCCCACAGTTCACAGGAGATTTACTGAAGTTGGTATAGGGTCGTGCATACCCGAGAAAGCTCCAACTTGTGACACAGCACCGAAAAAACATATTGAACTTTTCACGTGAATATCGTGATTGGGTCTTGAACGACTGGAGGCATGATCTCTTCACTTATGAGTGCAGAGTTCTCTTAAACCAGATCGATGGAAGATAGCGAATATGGAGACACAAAGAGAACGTAACATTTAGTCTTAATTTTGAAAATATCGTGGTTTATGGAGGTAGCTTAATTCTGGTGTGGGGAAGGATTTGTTTGGGAGCTCGCACGGAGTTAGTGGTGGGTGATGGAGGAAATACGACTTCTGAATGGTACACTAGGAACATTTTAGAAGAACATGATGTGCCATTTACTCCATTTATTGTGGACTCCTTTAGTTTAATTCACGATAATGTTCGTTTTCACAGTGCTCGCTCAGTACAGGCACATCTAAACCATTTGGATATACCCATGATGCAGTGGCTGGCAAGATCCCTAGACAAGAATCCTATAGAGCATGTCTTGGACTTTCTTAAAAGATGTGTTAAACTCAGAATACCACCGGTGGTGTTGAGAAACGCGTTACTAGAGGAATGGCAGACATTGCCCCAAAATACCCTTCATAACATTAACTGCAGCATGCTCAGATGAATGGAAACCATCATCAGAGCAAGAGGGGGAAATACTCATCATTAATTAATTCATTTGGTTAGTGATAAGCTACCCTAATTTTTAATCTGGCCACAATTTCTAATTTTTGTTCAAAACTGAAAAATTGAAATTTCGTTTCGATGATTTTTTATTAAATAAAAACGACTAAATATTTAAAAAATCTATGTTATTTTATTTTATTTTAATTATCTCTTTATTTTGTATAATAAATATTTCATAGATCAGTAGTAATTTTCCTTATTTTCATTCTTTTTTTTGCGTTCCGCTAAATCTGCCGGTGTGTGTAGTTGTGGCGCACTAACGTTTGTCGAGCTAATGTTCAGTCGCGCCATTGATTGTCGGCATAAAGTACTGTCGCTCCAACGTTTGTAGTGCCAGGCCTGTTCATCTCCGCGAGTTTACATCGAAAACAAAACACGCACGATGGCCCACCTACAGGATACTATTCGACAAGGCCTCACATACGAGCGAACATTGACTCACGCACGCGTATTCTTGTGTATGATGGAAGAAAATAAAGAAAATGGTGTACTAAATACTGTGCAGTATTTAACTGCCAAAATAATAATAAAGACACAGAATGTACTTTTTTAAGTTGCCTCAAGACACTGAGAGGTAAATAAGTAGTTAATATTATTCATGATAATTCATGATAAATCATGTATTTCCTCTGCCATTTCCCGCAGTTTGGCACCTCACGTCACATCATTTTACCGAAGTCAGCCCTATAACTTCGGCGCAGTGCCGATCACTGACGTTTGTCAACAAAATGGTGCTTGACTCTTGAGACAGGCTAAATTACACCATATTGTTAATGACATTGAATATACATTTTTTTAAATACCTTCGCGAAGTAAAACTTCTGTACGTAGTACTTATTATTATTCTGTGGTAGTGCCTTTGTCGCAACTGTGATGCATACTTGTCGCGACCCATGACAGTCCGCGCGACCTGTCATTGCATTGGCCTATGATCGCGCCAGCAACGGCGATCTGCACGCGTCGGTGTGGTTGAAGCGTAAGTCAGAGCTCACCCCTTGCAGAGCGCGCCGAAGAAGGCCTCGTGGAAGTCCCTTGTGAGCAGGTCGGGCGGCAGGTGCGCCAGCAGCGGCAGCAGCATGTCGCTCAGCCGCCGTGCGTCGCCCCAGCCGCCTGTACAATATAACAATTACTAAAAACTTCTAAAGCCCTGTCTGTGAGCACTAGAATTTTGTCCAATGACCCCAATGACCCATCCTTATCGCTCGCGCGTAATGAGGGCTATCGTTTTTATACTTAACAGTTGGCACCCCTGGCGATTGACAGGACCTTACTCTACAGTGGCGCCATCTTGATGAGTGCAAATGCGATACTCCTCCTACCACTTTAGCGCTCACAAGTTGGCGCCACTGTCTTCGCGACTACCAAGTGACAGGACCTTACTCTACAGTGGCGCCAACTGGTGAGCGCTAAAACGATAGCCCTCATTATATTGCTGTCACGACTGAGCGACGGGCGCCCGTAGTGAGTGTGCGAGCGCGACAGCAACATAATTACGCGCGAGCGATAAAGATGAGCTTGGGGTCATTGGTCAAAATTCTACGTGCTCGCAGACCAGACTATAGGAAAACACTTTTTCTGCAAAAGCTTCTCTAATTTACCAATCAACTTCAAAAAGATGGAGGTTCTCAATTTGGTTGCTCTGTTTTTTTTTTTCAATAACAGTCGAGTCAACAGACAGGAATATAATAATATTATGCAACAAGGTTTGGATTAGGAGACATTACGTTTAAGTTAAATCACACAAATTGAAGTTACCTTTTTCTAGCATTTCCAGAATTCGTTTGATGAGGAGATCCTTTCTGTCGAGCCATTTGTGCCAGTCCTGTAATTTTGCATGTATTAATAAATCTCTTCTTATAACCAAAATTTTACACAATGAACTAAATGAATTGAAAATATTACCTTCTGTAAAATCCCATATGAAAGGCATGCAAAAAGGTTCTGTTTAGTATTCTGATGTCAAGCGTCATTGACACGATCATTGTCATATCTTTTTATATAATAATAATACGTTTATTTCAGACCAATTATGATCCATACAGAGTTGTTTTAGTAACAATATCTATATATATAAAAGAAAGTCGTGTTAGTTACTCCACTTATAACTCAAGAACGGCTGAACCGATTTAGCTGAAAATTGTCAGGGAGGTAGCTTAGAGCCAGGAGAAGGACATAGGATACTTTTTATCCCGTTCGAAATTAAAAAAAAGTCTGCTTATTTATTGCCATTAAGGCGGAACAAAGTTCGCCGGGTCAGCTAGTTATACTTAAAATCTAGGTTAGTAGTGACATAAATCAGTCAAAAAACCGGTTTTTGGGTCCATGTAAATTAGCATTAGCATGTAGGTAGTTAGCAGATTAGATAAATGAAATAAAGAGCACAATATGTACCGGCACGCTGTACATAAGCGCCAGTAGGCAGCCCCACAGCTGGTGCGCGACGATGGGTTGACGCTCGTGCGCAGCCGCCAACAAAACTCGCGTGGCGCGCGCGCCTACGCCTGCGCCTAGTGAGTCGCCGAACCGCTCTATCACGCTGCTCATGGCGCCGAACCACGCCGCCCTGCGGGGGAGAGTTATACCGGTTGTAGACCAAGAGCTAAGCTAAGTTAGTTTCGTTTAGCTCGCATAGCTGACGCAGTTTCCCATAGAATTGGCATAGTTTTCAGTCTACACACGACTATGGGAAACTGCGTCAGCTATGCGAGCTAAACGAAACTAACTTAGCTTAGCTCTTGGTTTGCAACCGGCTTTAGAGTAGGCGCACACCGTTAATTTTTAGTTGGCCGATAGTTGTGCCCGATTTTAAATTGCATGAAGAATCGGCCAAATCGAATCGGCGTAGTGTTGCCCATACATGCCCATACTGATCAACTGCCCGACTAAACTATCGGCCGACGAAAAATCTACTTAATGTTAGTTTACTCAGCCTGGTCATTTCCTCGAGTATGCATCGAAAACAAAACACGCGCGGCGTATTCGCCGGCGGGCTTAATCCACAAGGGAATCACGAGCGAGCAGTGAGTGACGACACTTGTGCGCGTATTCTTCACCCATTGTAAAAAAATACGTCTGTTCAAGACCAATGAGGGCTTTCGCGATTGAAAAATCCGCCAGATGGCAATACGTAGACGGGAGAGGTCCAAATGCTGCATGATTGGTGGATTTTGACATATCTGTCAATGTCATGTCAAAAATAACCAATCATGCAGCATTTGGACCTCGCGTCTACGTATTGCCATCTGGCGGATTTTTCAATCGCGAAAACCCTCATTCTATTGCGCCGCGTGAACCGTGTGAGCAATAGATATGGTCCTTCGAGCCGGATATTAAACAGGAACCTGTGAATATTTGGCTGTACGAACTACGAAGGGTGTTGCTACCAACAGCTACTGCTGCTCCTCGGGCTCTCGATCCTGGAGTCCTGCAGCAGACGCACCTGACCTGCGGCGCCGCGTGCGTGGGGTACTTCCAGAAGGCGGGCGCGGCGAACAGCGGCTCGAGCTCGGCCCACAGCCAGGCGTGCTGCGCGGGCGGCAGGCGCGCCGCCAGGAAGCGCAGCCCCTGCAGGCTGCTGGCCACCAGCCGCTGCTGCTGCAGCGAGCGCTCCTCAGCGCTCTCGATCCTGGGGGATAATCCTTTTTTAGTTTCTTTTTTTGACGCACGAAAATACTTTACATATACTAGAGAAGAAGGCGGATTATGCGGGACTCTCTCGTCCAGCCGCTGCTGCTGCAGCGAGCGCTCCTCGGCGCTTTCGATCCTGGGGATAAACTCTGTCTTTAGTTTTTTGCTTGACGCACGAAAATAATTTGCGTATACTCGCTAGGGGGAAGTGACGGGTTATGTGGGACTCCCTTGTCGGGTGGCAGCAATACCGGCTGCCAACCGACAAGATAATATAAAGCCTGGTCCGTGAGCACGTAGAATTTTGTCCAATGACCCCAAGCTACCCATCCTTATCGCTCGCGCGTAATTATATTGCTGTCACGACTGTGCGACGGGCGCCCGCTGTGAGTGTGCGAGCGTGACAGCAACATAATTACGCGCGAGCGATAAGGATGGGTAGCTTGGGGTCATTGGACAAAATTCTACGNCAAGCTACCCATCCTTATCGCTCGCGCGTAATTATATTGCTGTCACGACTGTGCGACGGGCGCCCGCTGTGAGTGTGCGAGCGTGACAGCAACATAATTACGCGCGAGCGATAAGGATGGGTAGCTTGGGGTCATTGGACAAAATTCTACGTGCTCACGGACCAGGCTTTACCCACTAAAAACCTGCGGGACACTCCCGCGAAGAGGGAGCTACCGGTACTAGGGGATAATCTTACTGTGACTATCAGACTATCAGACGACTAAACACAGGCATCCAATATAGTAACAATAAATACTATTTTGTAAGACATAGTCTGATACTATTGTGACTATCTATAATGATTACACAAAATTATATGTGAGCATTGTAAACTAATTTACTTGTGAAGCGCCATCTCTATGTCATGTCATCACACACACAATTAAAAAAAAAAAAAAAAACAAAATATTGTCCCACCTGCTCATGACGACTTTGTCTCCACTCCCAGTGATATTTTCAAGAAGATGAGCAATTATTTCTGCCTTACAGAACGATATAACTTCTGGCAATTTATTCTCTGGAAATGTGGCCTGTTGATCAAAATAAGTCGTTATTACGTAGTCTTTTTGCGTGTGTGCATCATGCGTGAGTGCGAGAAACATACTATGTGTAAGGCCCGGTTCCAAGGCGGAGCGGAGCAGAGAAATGTTTTGAACACCTAAGTCAATTTCATTTAATCTGAATGACATCTGATTGGTCGTTCAAAACATTTCTCCGCTCAGCTTCGCCTTGATGGAAACCGGACCTTAATAGCGAAGTGATAAGGATTGTTTAGGTGTGGCGATGGTCTAAGAATAAGAAATTTATTCATAATGTTCATTACATGTCAAATTTTCAATATATTTTCTTATTAATAATAAACAATTGCAGTATTAATAAGAAAGAAATACACATCATGTCCAAATAAATTAATAATACAAATAGAATTAATGTCAATTAAATGTCAAAATAAATAGTGGGTAACAGTGTCAATAATAATTAAATTCCAAACAGTTCGTCAATTTTATAGAACGCCTGCTCGATCAACCACTTTTTTAATTGAAATTTGAAAGAATGGAGTGATACCGCTTCTTTCACTATTTTAGACAATCGGTTGTATACTTTAGGCCCCAATACGTGCGTCAAAGAGTCAGACTTTCGTAGTCTACGTGGGTTATCAAGTCCAGGTGATGAAGTGGAATAATAATAGATCGTGGCGATACGTACGGCCAGCGAGTTGTGCGCGTGCGCCTGCGCGGGCGCGTGCTCGTCGTGCTGCGCCTGCAGCCAGGCCGGCACCAGCTGCCGCAGCTGCGGCGCCATCCGCCGCCCGCACGCGCGCGCCACGCTCAGGTGGCACGCCTGGGGGGACATTCACGTCAAAAGACAATGCCGGAAATTGGCGTCTTTTTTTTTTCGCGCGGCCATCGACCACACTTTGTTTTTTGATTACAAAATAGTGTAATAAACCAAACTTACTATAGCATGTATACCTCTAAACTCAGTCTGAACTGAGTTACGAGCATTAGAAGTTTGATGATTTGCATACTAGATTTGCTTTTTGCGCGCAAGTTTTATAAGAAACTAGCGGCCGCCCGCGACTTCGTACGCGTGGACCCCGTTTTACCCTTAGGGGTGAAGTTTCGAGTTTTTTAGTATTTACCCGGAAATTATTCAAACTTTTCTCGCTGTAAAAACCATCCTTGGACTTCAACAAACATTTAAAAAAAAGAATTGGTAAAATTGGTCCAGGCGTTGTTGAGTTATACGCTTACCAACACATTTTGCGATTCATTTTTATATTATAGATTGCAACAAAATATTGCGCTATTTTTTTATTGCGCTGATTCTGCTCCATACTGATGCCTGGAGCCTTTAATGGATGGTATTGTTTGATTACACATACAATTTCACTATTTTGTTGCAATTTCTTACAAAACTTACGCGCAAAAAGCAAATCTAGTATGTAAAATAATCAAACTTCTAATGCTCGTAACTCAGTTCAGACTGAGTTTAGAGGTATACATGTCATAGTAAATTTGGTTTATTACACTATTTTGTAATAAAAAAACAAAATCGATGGCCGCGCGAAAAAAAAAAAGACGCCAATGTCCGGCATTGTCTTTTATAGCCACGATAGCCGATATAGATTATAATGTATAGCACGAGTATAAATCATCAACTTTATAGACGGTGAAGTGGTCGGACTGGCCGACTCGAGATCCGACGAACGCGGGTTCGAATCCCACCGCCGCTCGACTATTGTGGTGAGCCTACTCGTAACACTAGCTTATTAAGCTTAACACGAGGGGCTAACGGGACTTAGATAAGTAATTTGAGCAATACAAATTGCTAATAATCTTTAAAAAAAAAACTCCAGCATTCATTTTATGGTGTTTTACTGAATAACGCCTATCTTTTTCAAAATAGTTACATACAGTGGCTAAAGTTATTTTGTAACTATAACTTTTGTCTGATGTGCTGTTGACTGAACTGTTGAATGTGGTCTCCAAACTTTGAAGCCTTGGGGCTGTAATATTTTTTTCGATATGTTGCAAGAGCCATAACAATTTAAATTTTTCTACCCACCTATGCTAACATAGGCTTAGTTTTAAGCTGTCGCTGGCCGGATATGGCCTGCGGGCCGTAATTTGGAGACCCCTGCTCTAGACCAGTTTTTCTTAACCTTTAACCAGGCTCTGGTGGTCATAAAGCCCATATTAATATGAACTTTATGCTGTGAAGATATTATGGTTTCAACCATACCAATGACTTTTATTTGAGTCTGGTTAACTGAGTTAAAATTTTTTGTCCATGGACCCCTTAGGAAATCAGCACTATCTTAAGAACCCCCTTAATAAAAAAAACAACAATATTACGAGACTTTTGGTGGCATTTGTTCATGATTGTTAGTAGTAGATATAAGGCAGTGGACCCCTGGGGGTTGCGAAAACGATAGGTGGTTTTTTGCATCAATAAGCTAAATAGAAGGCATTTTTTTTGGTCACTTATTCTTATCGGTTTTGTTAACTACAAGAGAATCAACACAATATGTCGAAATACCTGAGCGGCCTCCCTAACTTTGCAGTCGGTGTCCACGGCCAATATTTTGTAGAAGTGCGCCCAGCTGGGCAGAGCAGCCACTACATCGTCAACTTTGCTGTTGTTCACCAACTCACTCAACTCTTGAAGAGCCTGAAAGTGTTTGATTTCAAGATTTTATGGTAATGTGTGAGAGTATAAAATTTTTTGCTTAAATATAACTTTTAGTAAAAGGGTTTATTTATACAATGTCTTATTTAAAAATGAATAGGGAATTACTACTAATTATTTAATTAATAATTAATTAGGCCGCTACCAACCGTGCGATGTGGAAGTCATTGGGGGAGGCCTATGTTCAGCAGTGGACGTCCTGTGGCTAAAATGATGATGATGATGATGAGAGAATTACTAAAAAAATAGTACTTAAATTACCTTTGTTTTCGTAATAGGATCTTTTTTGTTGAGTTTTTTGATGCATACTGAGAACTCCGCAGTGAGCCCTTGTTCCAAGGCTGGTGACGTGAAAGTTGGGAACAGCGGCATCATCTTCCCTCCCATGATGGACTGGTCAAATGTGACGCTGTTGAGAAGCTCAGCACTACGGCCGCTGCTGGATGGCTGGACATAACAGAATTCATTTAACTCTCAAGTTCCAACACGGTTAAGGTCAATCCTTTTGAAGACACTCTGCCAAACTAATGTACTATGCGTACTGTATAAACCAGAGTAACCTCAAAACGTCTTAATGAAATACCTACACAAATAAAAATAGACTCAGGTTCAGGGCCATGTTAAAGATACTGATATGACAATGAAAAAAGCGGATTCACACCATCATAATCTACGTGGAAAACTAATTATAAAAAGATTTAATTATCAAATTAAACACAAATAATGTTCGCCTAATACAGGAAGTTGCATGGCGATGTACACCACAATTGAAAACCATAAGTAAAACTACTAACATACCTCTGCAAATACGAGAAAAACTTGTGGAGAAAAGAAGACTTAGAAGAGTCTGGCAGCTGAGCAGACATTCGTATGATAGAAGACTCTATGAAAAAGCAGCTAAAGAACTGAGGGAAATGATAACAGAGAATGAGAACTATACATTTGAACAGAAACTGTCATCTTTATCTGCTAAAAGGTGTGATGATTACTCTTTATGGAAATTCACAAAGCAGTTCAAGAGACCACAACAATCAGTACCACCATTGAGAGCTCAGTCGGGAGCTTGGGCCAAAACTCCTAAAGAGAAAGCCGAGATCTTTGCTCAACATTTAAGTCAAGTGTTTGTACCAAACTCTTCAACAAGGAGTGATTTCGAAAAGGAGGTAAATGAATATCTCGAGAGCGATCAGCAGCTATCACCACCTATAAAACTTATAACACCAAGAGAACTACAAAGAGCAATAAGAATGTTGAGCAACAAAAAGGCTCCAGGATTTGACTTAATCACTGGTGAAATCCTTAAACATCTACCCAGAAAACCAGTCGTCTTCCTGACTATGCTGTTCAATGCCATAATGAGAATACAATACTTTCCTAGATTGTGGGGCGTCTCTCAAATATGCATGTTGCTGAAACCTGGAAAGGTGCCCACAGATCCGAGCTCATATAGGCCAATTAGTCTTTTGCCAGTACTATCAAAGTTATTTGAGAAAATATTCTTGCAAAGACTTAAACCAATATTAGAAGAAGAAGCCATAATACCAGATCACCAATTTGGGTTCAGGGAGCGACATAGCACAGTGGAACAAGTACATCGTATAGTGAACAAGATAAGACAATCACTGGAGCAGAAAGAATACTGTGCTGCGGTGTTCCTGGACATCCAGCAGGCATTCGATAGGGTTTGGCACAAAGGTCTTTTGTATAAGCTAAAAAGTTTTCTACCTAATTCATATTATATGGTGCTTAAGTCCTACCTACAAGACAGAAAGTTCCAAGTTAAATTTGGCGAAGAAGTATCCGTTCTGTATGATATTGGGGCGTCTGTGCCACAGGGATCTGTGCTCGGTCCTGTGCTATATTCTATATACACAGCGGACCTACCATGCAATACAGATGTAGTAACAGCGACATATGCAGATGACACCGCATGTCTTGCAAGTCATAAAGATCCGGCTTTGGCATCAGAAAAACTACAAAATCACCTGTATGAAATTGACGAATGGCTGGAAAAGTGGAGAATAAAGCCAAATGTTACTAAATCTCTACAAATAACGTTCACACTCCGCAAAGGAGACTGCCCAGCTGTAACGTTACGGGGGCAACAACTGCCTACAGAAAATTGTGTAAGATACCTGGGACTCCATCTAGACCGGAGGTTAACCTGGGCAACCCATATAAAAACAAAGAGAAAAGAAGCAGATTTACAATTTAAGAAGTTCTACTGGCTGATTGGGAGACAATCATCCCTCAGTTTAAACAACAAAATGCTGGTCTATAAATGCATAATAAAGCCTATATGGACTTATGGGATTCAACTCTGGGGATCTGCCAGTAATTCCAACCTTGAAATCCTCCAAAGGTTTCAGAATAAAACACTGAGGGCAATCTCAAATTCACCATGGTTCGCTAGAAATGTAGAGATACACGAGTACTTGGAGATGCCGACAGTCAGGGAGGAGGTGAGCAAATACTGTACCAAATATAAGGAAAGGCTAAAACATCACACAAACCAACTTGCTAGAGAAATTGTGGAACAAACCCACAAGACCACCACAAGACTGAAAAGATGGCAAATATTACAGTTGGACCAAAGATGCTAGTGGCTTGGACTGAATATTGGAAGGCTGGACTAGATTGCTACGTGAATTAGTAAAAACCGAGGGAGAGAATTTACTGGAATACCCCTCCTCATGAACACAAACAAAAAAGCAAGACAAAACATCTGATAATGACCCAAGTCGATTGCAAAAAAAAAAAGGGGAAAAAAAAAAAAAAAAAAAAAAAAAATAATGTTCGCAATAAATATAGTTTGCCCTGGTGACTTACCCGAGCATTGTTTTTGGTTCTCTGACTCTGTTTACTTTTACCTCCCATATTTTTGTCTTATAGAGTCACACTTTAGAATTTACATTCAGAAGTCCACATCAAAAACAAATTATTAAACAAAGAGGTATTTAATTAAATGTAATAAAAACAATTTCAAGAAACTGATTTCTTCTGTGATTTTGACAACGTTGACAAATGTCAATGTCACCAAAGAATACTCAACTCCACAGAATGATATGGACACAGATATGGATTAGAGTAGATACAGCAAGTTGCTCGTCAAAGCGTGCCATTCCGATATGTCCAAATGGACATACATGGTCGAGTGATGTACACGTGTTGTTAATGAGGATCATTTCGATTTTTAGCTGTGAATGCAGATTTATAGGGCTAAGAAATCCTTAATACACAGTGCAAAAATTTTTGTTCTATAGCCTGACCAGGAACATAAAAACCCTGGCATAGAGGCGCTTCAATTGCATTTGATAGTGCAACACTGAGTACAGTCGTACCTGTGTTAAATTAATAGGCTAACTTTATGTATCAGGATTCAGGATTACGGGCTAATTCGATATTTTCATAAATTAACGAAAAAATATTATTATAGGTAACCTGATTTTAATAAATTAAATGAAACCATCAATCGAGCTAGTAGATTTATTTTATTATTCATCAATAATCAAATTCAGAACTTGAATATTCAACTGCAATGTCTGCTCACGAACGCTTCAAACTCGGTACTTCTTTCCCAATCCTATAAAATTAAACACTTAGAAAGTGACAAAATTTTCAAAATAGGTAGTTGAAACAAACCACAGCTAATTTTCATAGTGGACTGTACTATACGATAAACATGTCAGTCAATTTGACAACCTTTCTGTACCTTTTTGAATAGCTAATGAATCAAGGAACTAAATTCTGTAATTTGTACACAACATTCCATACATTTTTTCTTGGAAATTCTTCGTTTAATTACCTAAAACATATTTTTTTTGCAAAATAATACATGGTTTTTTAGCTTTTACTTGAGTAATGACGATTCTTTCTTGCAAATTTTAATTTAAAATGTCAATCTTATTATTTAGCTATACGAATACAACAAAAAAGTTAACATTATTCCGTATTCTTCATTACAAGGGTACATTTTAACATAAAAACTGGAGATTTTTTAAAAAATACTTAAATCTTGAATAACTTGGAAATGAACAAGTTTCGGACATGGTGTCATATGACTTAAATGACTGCAAATAAGCTCTACTTTAACCCCTTTCAAGGAATGTATCGCTTTACCTGTCACCCTGTATACGAATTATAACGTTTACCGCGAAAAAAATATTTTAATTCACAGTCAGACTAGCTATAACTTTAACAAAATATCAGTTTTATCGGAATTAATTAATTTTCGAATCGAGTCACACGATATCTTTCGATGACTTTACGAATGCAGTACGATGATACGATTACTTTTACGTTGCGGCAATCACTAAAATTCGCTAAAATGACACTAATGACGTTTAAAAAGTGGCACGCTCGGCTTCATAAAATTTTTGACACATGCTGCATCTATCTATATCTGTGGATATGGATCTCAATTACTTCTTTCCTTAGTCTGAGAATTACTCATATAGTATAGATGACCCACGCTGAACTGTCCCGCCAAACTCAATGACAGGAGGGCGCTACTATCGTTCAACTTTATGGTTTCCAACATGGCAAAAATCGGAACCAGCGATTCGGTATTGACGGTGGCGCCCCGCTGTCAATGTCATCGATAGGACAGTTCAGTATTTTGGAACTATACTGCACACCACCACCACACCCCACGTTGGGCGCCACTGCAAGAAAGGATTTTTTCCTGGCGGCTTGGTGACTGGAATTGAACCGCCACCGGTGCAGACGGAGAAGATGGTGAATTGTCTGCACGTGAAAAAGAGGTTGTCCGGCTTGCAGAAATTTATAAAAGTTACCGTTCCTTGTGTGAAATTAGAAAATGTAAATAAAACAGCTCCCTCTCAATTGACACAATTTATTTTTATCTCGTATGCTCGTATATAGTTAAAAATTACGATATTATAATAACTACTGTAATAGTGCCAATCTCAAGGGATTCAGGGTCGTTAATTAGGTTCGGTTTGGTGAATATTATTGCCACTACAAATTTCTTAAAACTCAGCCTAAATATTAAAAGACTCTACTAGTTAAGATAACTGCTACCACGTACTGGAATACGAAAAATATCAATCACGAAAAATAAATAAATTCTCCGACGGGAACTTACCTCATGTGTGATTATTTTAAATTATATTATGAAATTATCGTGGATGCATTCTGCAACACACGATTTAAAACACAGGGGATTACATCCCCGAAAATAATAAAATTGCGGTTGCGCAAGATCGACCAAAATTCCAAAGTGATTTCACAGCTCAACTGACAGCCTGCGAGTCATTGACATCGCAAGACGTTTCGTTTCGCCGCTCAGGTAAAAAGCAAATACTAACAAAAACCATGATGAAAACAATCTCCTGAACACTGAAAATATTCTATTAAAAAATAGAATAATCAAAACAAAAACATTAGGAAATGTTTCAATAAAATATATTTGAATTGACCGAGCAAAAAGCGCCATCTATTGCAAATTAGTTCAAAATCACGCCAATAGATGTCGCCAGTGGTATCCTAAATCCAAATATCGAGAAGAAATATCAATTTGTGAAAACAGCCAAAACTGCAACGCTACAATACTCCAAATGTCACAAATTCACAATCAGAATCGGAACACATCAAAATAAAATATCGGTCTGATTTGTCCATTTACTAAAATAAAATACTATTATAATACGGAATTTATATAAAGTTACAAAAAATATTTGAAATCGCACTTGACCACCTCCAATAACGATATAATATAATCATTTTTAATTTTAAATAATTATTCATGTTGATGTAGGATTTTTTCTAGTTTTATCCGCCATTAGGATTGGTTAGGACACAAAAGAGTAGAAATTTAATGAGGGCACCACTGTCGTTCACATAGCAACCCTGATAGCGCAACTAGATTGGTCTTGATGCTTGTTCTTTTTAGACTTATTTAGGGCCATTCGTTTATTACGTAAGACTATTTTTGCTAATTTTTTACCCTCTCCCCCCTACTATAAGAAAAATTAAGAATAGGCCGACACCCCCCCCCCCCCCCTCCTGTTTAATAATTTTATTACGTAAGAATCAAAAGGAAAAGATTAATAGGTAGGTACACGTTTGACGACTAGTACCTACACAAGCAGGGAATTCTTGGGAGGCGCAGTGTGGGTAGCGCGAGTCCTTTGCCATGGAAATGGAAATCGTTTACCTTGGCACTTGCGCGGTTGCCCACGCTTTTTCATTCAAAGTATAATTTTTGTAATCTTACGTAAGAACTATCGAGACTTCCTCGCACCCACATTCCTAGTAAAAAAAAATTATACAATAAATGGTCGACCCCCTTCTCCCCTAAATCGTCTCACGTAATAAATGAATGGCCCCTTTAAATTATGACTGTTATTTTAATTCTTAGTATACCTACAGGGTGTTAGGTAAATGGGTTTATAAGCCGACACTAACACTTATGTTAACATGGACTAGTTAATTTTCATACCTATCTGATTTTATAAGTTTTATCAATCAACATTAACAACCCACATTTATTACACCCAGATATTTCCATTTCAGAAATTGAGTCTATGGCCTACCTATTTTGTTCTAATGTTAGTACAATGGGTTTATCTTCCATCTATGTAGCTTTTAAATTTCCATTTAAGCCTCAGGAGGCTAAGGTTATTTATTTATTTATTTAATCCTGCTGTATTCAAATAATACATCAGTATGAGTAAATTGTTCGCCTCAACTTTCACTGTGCGATCTCGTAAGTTTAACAATAAAAAATAGTTTTAGTTTTACAAAACAATAAAACTTGTATTCTTAGATTAGTTTTATTAATCTAAGCTTGTATTATTGAGCAGAGACGATGCACAGCATTTGGTGAGAGATGCATCTACTTCCGGTGTAGCTTTTTACCATTTTATACCATAAATGACGTCATTTCCACAATAATTTAATAGGAATTGATTTGACTTACTTCCGTTTGCCGCCATGTTAGTCACCTGGGGGCGAGCTTGCTCGGAGTTCTTAAGTTCTTCTTCATAGCGTCTTTATAGCAACCTAGCAACATCGTAAGCAGAAACTCTGCTCAGATTTTTACTGTTATAATTTATTTCTCAACTTTTTTATACTAAGTTTAAAAAGTGCAATTGACCGCGCGTGTGTATAACAATAAATATAATACAACTTAGAATTTAAAACAAGACTATTTTACAAGCTTTTATATAAGTGATTAAAAACAGGATTACAAATTGTAGTCAATAGTCAATGATCATGACCAGTCTTTGAAAAAAAATAATTTAAGGCAATTTCCACAGATTATAATTTTCAATAGTTTCGTAACCGCTTTTCGCCACCTTCAAGTTCATTAAACAAGAAGAAACCGAACCGAGCAACCGACCGATCCATTTGAATTTTAGTTAGTTGACTACCCTCAAAGCAAGTTTGTTCTGGGAAATGGAGCTCACACCACACCTCAATCGGATTTTATCAAAACGTAAGTAAGATTTTATTACGCTTGCCGGTTATTTTGTTTGAGTGTGAAATAATTAAGCATTGATTGTTGTAATTTTCATTTAGAATGTGTATAATTCCACGATTCCAGTTTCATTGTACCACATAATTCATAAATTGCGAGGTAGGTTACACTTTAGAGGTAAAGGTAATTTAATTAACCTAATTATTAGGTTAGAATTCCGTGTTGCATTTACGATTATTGCGTAGAATTTAAATTTATTTCAACTAGATCCAGCTAGTTACGTAGGTATCTTACTTGTATCATAAATCATACCTACATTCGATACGTTTTCTGATTTCCTGTTTCAATACAAGCTACCCCCAGTTATCTTCACCAGTCATACAGTAACATAGATTTGTTAGCTAAACCTACCTACATTATGTACAATTTATCCACAGGTTTCTTGAACTGGGCTGCTCTACGCTGGTACAAGATAGTGCTGTGCGTTCACCACCTGTCCCGACCGATGCGACTCGAGACATGTCGACAAGGATTTAAGGTAAGTAGGTAAAGTTTGACGGTGATGACGATGATGTGT